GTTCTACAAATCTTGTCTCAATTTTTGTATTTTGATTTCTTCTTTTATTGACAAAGTCTTATTTCCAAATATGATCCATGATGATCTGAATCGTATCAAAATTTTTATAGGAAATATTTTAAATAAAAAGTATTATTATAGATATATATTTACAGAAAAGTACAGTAAAAGATACTCTTCGTATATCTCAATAACACATTTAATGAGAAAGATTTTGTCAAATAAAAATAGAAAGAATGGAAGCGAGAGCAAGATTGCAGTTGAGACTGATTGTTTATTCTTTAAATATCTAATTGAAATGTATTATAGACTATCAAAAGATGAATCCTGTAGTTTAGATAAATCCAATAGATCCAAAGAAATTTAGTTCCGATAGCGTCTCATCCACAGAAAATCTATTGATAAAATGATAGACAAAATACATCAGCATGTCACACATCAATTGAAGCTACCTTCAGAAATATCTACAGTAAGAGTTTTTTTATTGTAACATTCTGTAAAATAAAATTCATTGGTTAAATATTAATAAACATTATCGATTATTTGTAGTTTTTATTAGAGAAATATTTTTGCTCTACAGATTGAGATAGAACTTTTAGGTCATCTATTGTGGATGTGAGTGTACGTGTCGATGTGATTGTGAATGTTTGTGTACATCTTCTCTTAACAGATATCTAAACCCACACCCTTGTTGTTTATTTAATCTGTTGATTCGACATTTACAAGTCCGAAATGATTTCATTCCTGTTATTAGACCCTCATAGAGCATTCAGCTGTGATTTGCTCGATGAAGACAAACAAGACTAACAAAAAAACGTTTTAAATCGTTAAGATTTCGTTATAGATGCCGTGAAAATGCTGCTTTTACGAATTTTTCGAAGTGTTTGAACGTGTTGCGGGTGGATGTGGATGTAGTTGTTTTCACCTACATTCACACTCCATATTGATGTTAGTGGTATACAAACATCAGATTTCAATCAAAAAAATAATAAGCACAGTTTTCATCGTCATGGCTAAACAAACTATTAATTCAAATTGAAATCTGACATAAATATTCACAATGATAATCGGATAAATAAATAATTGAACAAATAAGAATATAATAGGTAATGAAATAAAGATTTAAAGAATATTGATTCATTTATTAGGTAATTCGATATGTTTGTAGTAGATGTTTGTTATATTATAATTAATATTACTAATACGAATACAGTTCGTTTACAATTAGATCAAATTTTATGTATTTAATCTAGAACGAGTTCCAAACAGAGATGTTTACAAGATTCAAGTCAACATTTTATTTACATATTATATGAATTAGAACATATTAAAAAGAAAACTATATCTAATCAAGATAAGAATGTATCTATTTTTTGAGTTCATAAAATGATGTACAATTTATTCTCTATGTTCGACAGTATCCTTGCTCTTCAAGTTATAGATTTTAATTGATTTTTGTTTGAATTTGACTCATAAATAATTGAAGTGATTTTGAAATTATAGAGAAAACCAATTACCGATTTTCAAATATTCTCTTTTTCAATTTGACATCTCTTTATTAATTTATAGTCTTTAGGACATTTATTTTGTACACAACAGCTTTGATAATAATATAAATTCAGAAGACGAAGAAGAATAAAAGCATCCTCTTCTTCATTATCTCAAAATATAATTGTCATTCAATTGAGACAAACATTACTATGAATACGTAGATTTATTATTCTATTAATATTTAACTTATTAGTTAATTGCTAATAACAATTAAATAAATATCAATTTTCATTTATTAATATAGATGATACATATAATAAAAATAAGATTAGTTTAACGTCTTTGTTAACATTGTTATTTTGTATTATAATTTTAAGATGATCGACAAAAAGATTATCTATCATGTGTAGAGCTTATCTTTAAAATCAATTAATTCCATAGTGTACAAAAATGAGAGTAAACAAATATCTTTCTTATAGATATTCTGATAGATAATTGTTTTGTGCTACAACAATGCAAAAAGAAAAATCAATTTTTCTTATTGTATTAGAAGAATTCCCTTTGTTGTCTTTTTTATTGATCCTGAGATTTATGATGAAAATGATATGAGTCACACAATTTTTGTTTTTCTGACCATGAACAAATTTAGTTTATTAAAGATAATTCATATTTTACTAGCTAATGTAAGTTTTTCTTTTCTTTTTTTAATTAATTAATAAAATCTAAAAATTAAAATAAAATCATCAATAGATCGAAAATTCAATCAATACGTGTTATTTTGTCGTTTTCATGCTGATGAATTATTTTTTATCCAATTTTAATAGAAATGTTTAAATCATTTTGAAAATAAATTTTTCAAATTGATCAATAGATAGTCTAGAAACAAACCTAGATTATTGAACTGATAATTCATTTAATATGGAAGATGTAATAGATAAACAAAATTTGTTTGTAAATAATTTTGATTGTTGTTGGTTTTCTTAATGGTACATATATACAATCTCCATGTCACTTGTGAATATTAATTAAAAGAAAAAGAAATTTAAATTATTATCTCTACCAAAACATTGATCAGATTTATTTCTGTAGAATTAAGAAGAAAAGTGAAATGGACTCACTTTCTAAGCTATTTTGTTTTTAACACTTCTAAATATTTTCAACAACTCTATAGGTAACGAAACTAAAATGTGAAAATATTTTTGAATACTTTGAAGTATACTTGTTCTAAATGGTCCAAGTCTGCTAGTTTTTAATCTTTTTCTAGCTGAATTCAAGAAGAAACCTATGAGATAAAATGTTATGAGAGATCTTCGTAATTGGGTGAACTTTTTTGAATGTCTGAAACAGTAGAAATTCGGTGCAAGTCTCTAAGATTGATTTCGTATTAATTCACTTGGCTCATTTCTACTTATTGAGAAAGAACTCTTCGCTTAGTTTATCTTCTTAAAGCCATACAGAAATAAGGCTGATCAAGTTCTTATAGAGAATTTCACAGTGCATCTTCTGGGAAAACAATCAGATGTGAGAGTTGACAAGAAAAAAGAAGTTATAGTCGAAATATTGAAATGCTGATTCTTCTAATCGTTACAAATTCAAATGAACTATTATTTAATTCTTCTTTTAAAGCTGAAGTTTTCTAATTCAGTTAAGTTTTCTTTTCTAATGGTATAAAATATCTAAATACTAAAGTTGAAGATCTTTAGAAATTACATAATAAAGGTAACAATCACTTAAATAAAACGATAGAAAAGTAATTTTCAAATAGTCCAACGAAGTTATTTTCTCTAGGAGAAATTCTAAGATCAAACGAATGCAATGAAAAATTTACTAGAAAAAAAAAACATCGAAAAACACAAGTAAAATTTGAGTTAACTCAAACAACTGAAATAAAATGATTAAAAGCATTAACACATGAACTTGATCTTTCAAAATCTCACACTCTAACAAAAGATTCTATTCCACAAACTATACTTGTCTATGTTATATAATTTGATGATAATGAACTTGTTTATGAGGTTTATTAAAATATTCATTCTTAATTTTTAGATTTGAATCTATTCACTAAGTAGAAATAATCTAATATTTCAATATAGACGAATATGAGAATTAATCATACGATTAAGATACTAGGTCACTCAAGAAATTATAACGCAGTTCTAATAAACAAATTTTTCTTTTAACAATTTAAAACTATTTTTAAAAAAAATCTTTGATAATTCAAATAATTATAGTGTTAAATAAAGTAATTTACATAGTATTCGAAGTATTATTATATGATGCGATAATATCTTTATTCTGATCCAGATATAAATTGCACATTGTAGTAGACAAAAAAAAATTTTTTTTTTGTAATGCATTTTTTATTCTTTAAACTTAAGATACAGTACAACTCAATTGACTTCCATTGTTCAAATAAATTTTACTTATGAAATGTGTAGATAATCTTGATAGATTAGAAGAAAAAATTCTAAGTTAATCTACTAGGAGAATAGAGATTGTAGAAAGATTCGAATACTGCATTCAACTCAACACTTTTATAGGGAGACTTCTACAAATTATTTTATCTGACTTGAAAAAAATAAGACTTGCGGTGACCTCAGCTATTCTAATTGTGGAACGTGAAAAGATATATAATTAAAATATTAGGAGCTCTAACGAATAGTCTGCAAGTAGATCATAAGAAGGTATTTAATTAATATTTAAAACACGTCGAACAAGAGCATAATGTTGATGATTGAATACATCACATTTACGAAGAGAGTAAAGTCGAGAGAAAATGTTCAGAATGATGTAATGAAGATTCAATAACGATAATTAGTAATTTATTTGAGCTAAAAATTTTGAATGAAAATAGTTAATTGTATGATTATTAATAATTACCTTGAATGTAATTCTAGCAACGGTTTAAATGAAACTCAATTTAAAAATTATGTTAATATAACAAATAATTCGCAAAATGGAAGAGATTTGAAACTTGCAGCACTGAGATTCATAGTCTTGACTGTTGAAAAAAGCTGTTAGTACAATTCCTTGTGGGATCAAAATGTGAAATACAATGAAGCTATTGTTGCTAATCAACTGAAAATTGTTTGATTTGATCTATTTTGGAACACATTTCTTCATGATCATTTATTTTGTATCCTCAAGCACTTCAATAAGGAAGCAGTTTCTATATTATAATGAGATGTTACTGATATATGATCTGTAATGGTCTCTAAAAACCATCTGTCACAGTCTGTAAGAATGGCTACAAATTTCTACCCAATATACACTTGAGGGTGTGGGTGTGGGTGTGGGGTGTGGGTGAAGGGATGAATTACATTGATGCACACACCCACACCTACTCCCACTCCCACACCCACACTCACACCCCACACCACCCACACCCACATCCACACCCACACCCACACCCACACCCATACCCACACCCACACCCACACCCACACCCTGATCCTCACTCAGTTCCACATCCATTCTGAAGTGGCTGATGTTTATTTTTTACATGATATTTATGTAGAACTCGTTTCGATCTTTCCATACAGACTTTTAATTTTTTCATGATAAGTAATTAAATCAGGATGATTTAGTGGAAGAAATTTTTGTCTATATTCTAGCGCTTTTTCATAAAATGACAGTGCTTTCTGATAATCTTTCATGTCTTCATATAATGTACCGATGTTCTCATAAGTAATCGCCGAGCTATGATGTTCTTCAGGAGATGACATTTGAAGAATCTCCAATGCCTTTTTATATTGAGAAAGTGCATTAGTAAATTCTTTCATTTGATGATAAATCTTGCCTATTCTATTGTATGTTGATACAATGTTTAAATTTGTTGAAGGAGAAAGTGTATTTAGTTGTATTTGAAGTGTTGTCTCGTAAAATGTAATTGCTTTTAAATATTGTTCTGTTTTCTGATATGCCGATCCAATATTATTATAAACAGTTATTAATTCTGGATGATTTGAATGAAGAAATGTTTGTGTCATTTGAAGAACTTTTTCATACACTAAAATTGCTTTTGAATAATCTTCCATATTATAATAAATTAAACCGATGTTATTGTAAATACATGCATAATCAAATAAACTTGTTTCAGAAGAGTTTTTAAGAATTCGAAGCGCTTTTTGAAATGATAAAAGTGCTGTTGAATATTCTTTGATTGTATTAAAAAATAATCCGATATTATTATGTATACTAATAAAACTTATATGAAATGGATCAAGAGTTTTCTCCATTGTTTCAAGTGCTTTTTGGTAATATTCAGATGCTTTTGTCTTTTCTTCCATTGATTCATAGATGGAACCGATACGATAATAACTTGTGACAAAATCAACATGATCTTTAGAAAGACAGATTTGTTGAATATCTAATGCTTTTATATAAAACAGTAGTGCTTTAGATTTTTCTTCCATTTTATCGTATAAGGAGGCAAGATTGATGTAACTGATAGCAAGATCAGGATGATTTATCGGAAGAGATATCTCACGAATTTTAAGTGATTTTTCATAGAATGAAAGTGCTTTAAAATAATCATTTAAATGGTCATAGATTGTCCCGATATTGTTATAAATATGTGCTAAATTAGGGTGATTTTCACCAAGTGATATTTGCTGAATTTGAAGAGCGTTTTCATACGATTCAATAGCTTTTAATTGTTCTCCTATATCATCGTAGAGTGCACCCATATTATTATAGGTAGTAGCTAAACTTGGATGGTTAATCGGTAAAGATAGCTTTTGAATTTCGAGCGTCTTTTTATAAAATTCGAGCGCTTTAGAGTTTTCACCCATTCTATTATACACTGATCCGATGTTGTTATAGGTAGTAGCTAAACTTGGATGATTTGAAGGCAAACATAAATGACGAATTTCTAGTGACGTTTCAAAAGCTAAGAGTGCTTTTTTGTAATCACCCATCTTGATATATACTGATCCGATATTGTTATAATTGGTAGCTAAATTTGGATGATTTTTTGGAAGAAATACTTTTTGAATGTCAAGTGCTTTTGTGTAAAATGAAAGTGCTTTTGAATTTTCTCCTATTTTGTGATAAAGCGTTCCGATATTATTGTAAATACCAGCTAAATAATGTTGATTCGGTTGTTGAGATTGTTCACAAATCCGTAATGTTTTTTCGTGGAATGAAAGTGCTTTTGTGTAATCTCCCAGATGATGATAAATACGTGCAATACTGTCACATAAAAGAATCCAAGATGGATGATCTAATTGAACAGAACTCTCTAAGATTTCTTGTGCTTTTTCATAGAATTGAACAGCTTTTGAATATTCTCCAAGATTTTCGTATACAGTGCCTATAGTACTGTAACTAGTTGCTAAATCAGGATGGTTTTGCGGGAGAGTTTTTATTCGAATTTCAATCGCTTTTTCATAAGCCAAAAGTGCTTTTGAATAGTTGCCCATATTATTGTGAAGCTTTCCAATATTATTGTGCGTGGTAGCTAAATCTGGATGATTCGAAGGAAGAAATTTTTCTGCAATTATAAGTGATTTTTCATAAAATGATAAAGCCTTTGAATACTCTCCGATTTTGTTGTATGTAGAAGCAATATTATTATAGAAAAATGCAAGATCAGGACGATGCAATTCTGAACACGCTTCAGCAAGATCAATTGATTTCTGATAAAATGCTATTGCTTTTTCATATTCACCCATGTCTTCATAGACTGAACCAAGGTTACTGTATGTAGCAGTAAATGTAAAATGTTTAGGAGAAAGGTATTGATTTTGAATTGTTAATGTCTTTTCATAATTTTCTATTGCTTGATCATATTGACCTTTATGTTGTTTGATATATCCAATTTGTGTGTGAATACGAGTACAATCTTCATAGTTTTCTTCTGATGTATGTTGAAGTAGAAAGTTACAAAGTTCTTCGGCTTTATCAAAATTTGCTGTTCTAATCATCAAGCGAGTAAGTCTCTGCCAATCTGGCTGATCACTTGTTTCATTTCGCATATATTCGGTAAGAATATTCAACTGTGGATCATTATCAGCTGTTAAAATAAGATCTACCTGCCAAATCTGACATTCAAGTAGTTTTATGGCACCAATTCGAAAAACTGTATGCATAGAAAATAGAATTTCTTCTTCAGCATTATTGTAATATCCTTCTTCATTAATAGATACAAATGGAGTCGTTGAGATTGATGGATCAATTGTCATTTGAAAAAGAATACGTATTGATTCGTCATTCTGAAGAGAAGCTTCTGCGAAAAATAAGGAAATAGTCCTATTTTTACTTGTCGATAAGAAATTGTTAAATGATATTAGTCCACCTTTTGAATTCTTCATTTTATTAAAATCAGTTTTCGACATACTTTGTCCGCGATATACAATAAAAGCTTCTTTTATTGTTGTAATCTGTTTTAAATGAATTTCTTCAATATTTTTATGAAGATGTTGAATAAAAACACCCATGGTAACAATTGTATTAACATTTAAAGTACGCAAAGCATGATTAAGCATTTGACAAGCAAGATTCGTATAAGTATACCACCATATAGGACTATGTTTTGTATATTCTTGCTCAAATTTATCGATAATTTGTAAATATGAACCATTGTCGTCGTAATTTTGACGACAAAAACGAGTCAATTCTTGAATAGCTTCTGGTTTATAATCTAATTTTATTAAAATTTCTTTCAGTAATACAGTATACATAAAAGTCGAATCAAGTTGATCCAGATTTTGGCTTAACGATTCTTGATTTTTTGATAAAAAGCTAATTGGAATAAGGTTACGATCACATTGAATCATATGTTGTTTTAATGTTGCACAAATTAATTGTAGATCAGTAAAAACACCTCTTACTTTATACCAGTCGTCAATCCATTGTTGCTGGGTTGATTCAGTGTTACAAAATATATAAATAGAATCAATTTGCGGTAAATTATGAATGTTAGAAACTAGTTGTTTACCAAGGGCAATTGTTGTTATCAAGAATACTTTTTCGTGTTTGACTTCAGTGATAAAATCGACACATTCTTCGGCATCGACGAATGTATGTGGTGTAACAATATGTTGGAACTCATTTATTGGATTCTGATAGGCATTATCTAGTTTGTTAATATCTGGGTCTAACCAAACAAGAACACAGTTTTGAACAATGCGAGAAGTTGAAGATTGCATTTAAAATCCTTCTATTAGAAATGAGAAAATTTTTTCAAATAAGATAAGGTTATTTCTGGAGTTTAGATATATTTTCGTAAACAATTGGTGTGATGGGTAGTGTGGAAAATGACCAGGAAGGAATACAGAATTCATTCAGAGAGTATCTCAGCAATATATGTATATGAAAGCTAAATTCTGCGTTTTTCACAATGAATAACAGTAGAGTTCGATGAAAAGTAATGTCATTCATTCAGTTTCTGTCTAGAGAGCGTGACAAATATCAGAAAAAAACCTATGTTCAATATTATTTTTGTACAACAAAAACCTATGAAATGCAACAGTTTTTAATGTTTTTTCCATGGAATAATGATAAAATCGTGGAAAAAACAATAAATTTCAACATCTTTCTATGATTATGAACCCTAAAATCCTCGGTGAGATTCCACGAGATCTGATCCGAAAAAAATATTTAAAAATTTCGAATCACACAACTTCTCAGGCATATGTTCCAGTTTTGTGAACCATGATCTAAAAGGATTGTTGAAGTATATAGGATGCGAAATTTGTATCCTCCCACAGCAACAAAGACCTTTTTTTCTGAGAAACGATAAAATTTAAGAGATCTGTCTTTCATTCTCTTTTCCCTAGACTGAAAGGATAGGGTCTAGAAAATGAAATTCATCTGTCTGTTTGTTGGTAACGTGGTCCAAATAGTAATGGTAACTATGGCACAAATGACCGAAGTGACTATGGTACAGATGGCTACAGTAGCTGTGATCCAAGTGCCGATGGTGATACTGGTATCAATGATCGTTTAGCAACTACGATCAAAATGTTCACGGTATCTATTATACAACTGATTCTTTCTTAAACATAGTTCAAATTATTATATAGTCGTACGGTAGGAATGATCATTTGATAACTATAGTTAAAATAACCATCGAAAGTGCTATCAGGAGCTTTTAATCACTATAATTTGTATTTATCGACCCCTATTCTTTAAAACTACTGACATTGTTATATGATGTAGTGTGATTGGAGTGTTAATAAATATTGTGCTAGCGGACAGATGCTTTATCGAAAACTTCGACTTTTTATAAGGCAGTGAGAAAAAAAATCTATGATAAACAAAAATGGCACTCTTTCAAAAATACAATGTCATTTTTTTCGAATAATAATAGCGCCTAAGTAGAATATTTATCAAAATTTGTGTCATATTTTTGATAGAACATTATTTTTGTTTGTTGTAGTTTTCTGTTCTCGCACTTATCAAATTCTAATTTAATGATAAAGCATCGATTTCTGGGCGCAGTTGAAAACGATAATCTAGTCACAAGAAATAATGAAACAATGACCGTCACTTTTAATCGGTTTTTAATGTAGATTATTTCCAAGCATAGAAAATAGGTGATCTTCATAATATCTTCGACAATTGTTTGACCATATCTCAAATGATCGTCATAAGTCTTTTGTTATATGCAGCTAACCATCGTGAATCTCTGCCTGTAACTATAGACAACTATATTCACATTACTATCCTGTCAGTCTAGGACCGAGTGAATTGACTTTCGATGAATGTTACTTGTTCATATTGTCTGAATGGTATGTAGTAATTGAAAAATTGATACATATGTTGCTGCATTCTTTCATTTACAATATAACAAGCTCCATCGTGTTTCACATTTTTAATCTCACAGCGATTGCGCTGATAGCTTTTTGTGAGAAATTACATTTTCGTAGAAAAAATTCCGGCATTTTTCAACACATTCTCTCGAATTCTATGTAACTCAGTAAAAGATTTCTTGACCTTAGTCTTGATTAATTATACGGAAAATTACCTGTTACATATAGATGTGACACTTTAACTTCATTTTGAAAAGGGTAGGTAAACTTTAAAGTCCGAATTTAACTTTAAAAATCAGAGTTAAAGTAGACATCTAAATGATGCTCATCCTGATAATCCTTAGTAAGTCCCTTGACATTATCTTCGTATATGTACTAAAGAAATTGTTTCTGCTAAAATAGACTAAAGTCAGATTGAACAAAAGTAAAGTTACAGTGGTTCCTAACAAGAGGTGCATAGCTCATGCTTTTGGATGTGAACGTTCCAGTTTTGTCTAAGATGTATGAGATACCATTTATATGAGAGAATTGCAAAATTATTGTACCGTTTCGAGAAAAAAATG